AGACCGGAAAGCGCGATTTAGAACAGTGGCGGTTCATTCGTGAAACGCTTTCTTTGGATAATGTTGTGGCACTATCGCTCACCAGGATACCTCTTACATCAAATTATAGAGGATGCGGCCCTAGAATCCTAAAACTTGTGGTTCAGTCAGAGCAACAAGCAAAGGATGTTTTGGATCGATAGCGGAGAAATCGGAAACATCTTCCTTCCTCAATTCGGTTAAAGGTTGCAAACACTTTGCACAGCTCAAATATTAAAGCACCTGAAGCAGCAAGCATACCGACGAATGTACAAAAGCGTAACTTGACTGCTGTTTTAATGGACTCTGAGGTAGGTCTAAACGAAGGTTGGGACGCACCTTGGTCGAATCAAGTTGAAAACGAGGTATCCTTGACGCATAAAAAAACGAGTAACTGCCGACCTCCAATCGGTCGGCATTCTCCCACGCGTGACCGCTTCACCCCTCTGTGGGCTCCTAGAGACCGAGAAACTGGTCTGCTTATATACGAATGCTCAGGGATTTTCTAACAAACTGGCTGAACTGAAAGATCGCCAAGCTTCCGGGACGTATGATGTCATTGGTATCACCGAGGCATGGTTGCACACGGGAATGACGGACGCTGAAGTTTCGCTACCCGGCATGTCACTGATCCAGAAAGACAGGCTCACAAAAGGAGGAGGGGTAATCCTGTATTACCGAAACGACTTACAGTGCGAAGCCGTGGAGGACTCAGACTCGCAGTTCCCCGACTCTCTTTGGTGCCGGTTGCAGTTAAAAGGCAGGGACGCTTGCCTTATCGTCTTGGTGTACCGCGCCCTTAACTCAACACCCGAAACCGACTACCACCTAGCGGCTGCTTTAAGGTGCAGTTTACAACAAAAGTACACTCACATTCTTTTCATGGGTGATTTCAACGTACATTGTTTAGAAGCCCCTACCACGCTCGGAGAACAATTCAAAACCGATCTACAAGATCTAGTAACTACTGTTCCTCTTCACAATCACATCACATTGCCCACTCGGTTCAGAACTGGTAACAGGCCATCTGTGCTTGATCTCGTGCTTACCAACGAGGAGCATATGATTGATGCGTTGGTTTTAGACTGCCCGTTGGGTCGCAGTGATCACACAGTCATCAGTTTCAAATTCATCTGCTATGCAGAATATCTGAATGAAAACGATGAGACTGTGCGAACCATCACAAGGTACGATCGATTAGCCCAGCTCGTCAGCGCCACAACTTGGTCTTTCCTGGAAGAAGAACCCCCGGAACTCGCCTGGCTCGAGTTCGTCAGAAAATTCAGTCAGCTGATTACACAGGCTTCAGAGACAAGAGCTTGCAATAAGTGCAAATCAGTTTTTTTGTTAGGAGCAGAACTCGAAAATGGATGACAGTACGCAACGCAGCATGGCGAGTGTACAGAGAAGCTTCAGCACCAGAAACTTGGGACAACTACGTAGCCCAACGTAACCGCTGCACTCAACTGTTAAGAGAAGACAAAGCCGCCTATCAGCAGAACATCGCAAAAACCTTCAGTGTTAACCACAAACTGCTGTACAAGCACGTTAATAGCCTACGAAAGGTGAGGCAAGGAACTCCTCCACTCAAGGCGGCTGATGGCCCAACAAGAACGGATGTGGAAGCAGCAAACGCGCTGCAGATGCAATACGCCCCACGTTTCCAAGAGTCTTGCCACCAAGCAACCTACCAAGCTTTGTCTTCTGCTCACCAGGACTAACCCACATCAATTTTACCGCAGAGGCTGTATTGCAAAAGCTGACTTCTCTACGCAAACGCAGCTCGCCGGGTGTCGACGCCATTCGTCCAGAGGCATTGGGAGCAGCAGCAAGCCAACTGTCAGGAGATTTAGCTCAGCTTTTCCAGCGCTGCTTAGACCAGAACCAACCTCCCGCCATGTGTAAGCTGGGAATAATAAGCCCGATGCACAAAGGTGGAAGCAGAACTGATCCCTCCAACTACCGCCCAGTATCCCTTCTTCCTATACTCTCCAAGGTCATGGAATCCATAGTTGCCGATGCGCTGGTGTGCTATCTGGAAAACTGCAACATCATCACTGCTGAACAGCACGGTTTCCGTCGACAGCGGTCATGTACAAAGAAGTTACTAATTGCACGCAGTAGTTGGACCGAGGCAGCTGACGCTGGAGGTGTTGACGTGATCTACCTGGATTTTTCCAAGGCTTTCGACCGTCTAGACCATCGGATACTACTATCCAAGCTGCAGCATTACGGGATCGGAGACCCTCTTTTAAGCTGGATCGCCAACTTTCTACTTCAACGGCAATTAGTGATCAGAGTTCGGAGCTCTTTATCGGACCCCATACAAGTTGAGTGTGGTGTGTCGCAAGGCTCAGTTTTAGGTCCGCGTTTGTTTTTGGAGTTTATTAATGAGCTTGCACAGGGCATCGCTTCCAACTTCCTAATGTTTGCCGGCGATATCAAGATCTGGCGCAGGATCCAAGCGAACGCCGATCAATATGTACTTCAGAGTGATTTAGATACGGTGTATCAATGGTCGAGCCAAAACTTATTGCATTTCAACGTCAGTAAACGCAAGGTGCTTTCCATCCGACATCAGGGCAGTTACTCATACCGGCTCGGAACGAATATACTACAACAAGCAACTCTCGAACGTGACTTGGGTGTCCTGGTTCAAGATGACTTGGGTTGCTCCAGGCAATCCGAAAAGGCCTCGAAGACCGGGAAAAACACGTGGGGCTGTTGAGGCGGGCGTTTAGACAAATAAACTTCTCCATATTTCCACGAATGCTCAGTGCGTATGTTCGCCCCCATGTCGAATACGCAATTCAAGCCTGGCATCCATGGGCGAAACAGGAGATTAATGCACTGGAGCAGCCACAACGCCGGGCATCTAAGAACGTAATTGGAATGCGCAATCTTTCCTACCAGGAGAGGCTGCAACGACTGAGATTGTTCAGTGGAAGCTGTCGCAGACTACGAGGCGACTTTATTATGGCATACTTGATTCTGCGAGACCCACATCATGTGTGCCGCCTTTTACTGCAACTCAGCAGCAATACAAACCTGAGGGGCCACTCATTAAGACTCGCAGAACAATACAGTCGTTTGGAGTGTCGCAGAAATTTCTTTTCCATTCGTGTCTGTCACCCGTGGAATGCTCTCCCAGAATCGGTCGTCTCTGCACCGACACTAACAGTATTTAAAAGACGGTTGGACGATGCACTCATCCACTTACACTTTGTCACTTAACACTACGTCTCCACCCTACATCTGGAGTTTACCATGGAATTATTTCATGTTAACTGTGGGTGCTGTGAATCTAAGAGGATCGCAGGACTGCAGCGAAGCAAACGATAAGTCCTTATTTTCATATGTAAAGCATTAACTATTTTACTATCCTTATCATCCTTGTTGTTATGTTGATATCCCCACCAACTATCCAACGGGACTTGTAAAGCAACGCTTCTTAACCCGTATGAATTCATTGTTCATTGTACCACACACCATAGCAACCGGATGATAGTTTTATGGGCAAAAAAGCGTGCTTAACATTTATTGTTGGTAGATAATCAGCAGCACCGCAAAACAGACAAATAAAACATGATGACTCAATAAGGAGTGCTTTGGTATAGTCACCGTGGTGGTCACAGGAGGGTGTACTTAAAGTATTCTATCTATATTGTTTAACGAAATGTTGGCTGGTGCTGTGTTTGGAGTAATGGTTTATAGCGGATATAAATGCAGATGCTTAAGTACCCTCGTAGGATGGTTAAGGCGAAGGTTACAAGCTAATATACAGCGTCGGCTTAAATAACTCGCCCGAGATACATGGCACACTAAGAGCCCAATATTCTCATAGGGCGAGTTATTGTGGTAAGCATCCCTAACAGTATGCATCGGCTGTGGCCACGAACCGATTCACTCATTTCCGAACTCTCATGGACGCTGCCTTGCGTGTGCCTCTTCGGTACCATACTTAGTGTTCACATATCTGCGATTCCTAATCGTTCTGCCTCTGAGGAGTTGGTATGGTCCATTGTTAACCTTTCCTTGGTACTGTTACACTACTGACCCTCGCGCGGTAGTATCCGCCTTTGTCCCACTACAACTAGGCCAAACATGTGATTAAAATGCTCCTGTGGTTCAGGCTAGAGTTCTGAAAAAATGCACTAACAATCTTCACACAGATTGTGATGTTCTTAGCGCAACTCATAGTATGGATAATAGTGACAACGATGAATGCACTGAATGTGATGTGAGGGCTTGTTCGAGCGTGCGGTGGTGCACGCAAGACAAATCCTTTACATAACGTATCAGAGGCTCCAGAACGCGGTTACAAAGTCAACTCGCCGGAAACATAGTCATACCTTCTGGGTTAATAAGATTACTTATGCATGCGCTAGTACTGGAGATTTCGAGAAAATTCTATTAGCGAAATGCGAGAGCGTGTGGAAATTGCGTATAGCAGTACTGAACTTCTGATTGCGTGCCGAAATGAAGGACTAAAATTGACATTTTTATGCTAACAGTTTGATTGAAATACATTTTGTAGACACTTTGTTACCACCAACTGCATCCCATGATCACTTTCAGCGCACTGACGCAAAGCATCATGCTGCTTACATCCGTGCACTGTAGATTTGTGTATTTTCATCTGTATATATACTTAAAATTATTGCAAAACACAAACGCTGTCTCAATTGACTCGAGCTATGCTGGATTAACTGTATAGAAAGAGTACTAAATAGATAAATAAGTTAACACTGTGTTAGATTGTCGATTTAAAGAGGGGCCGTTCCATGAACGGTACAGAACAAGTTTTGGGTGATATGTATGCTGGTGTATTGAGTATATTATTTAATTTGCCTTCGCTCATATTCATTTGGGATCTTCCAACCAGCGTTCAAAAGATTTAATTCAGTAATCTTAATCACAGAATTTAGAAGTCATTGGGTTCTGGAAACTGTTTGCATTAACTAGCCTTGTTTTCTTCGCAGTCTCATTCAGCACAAGACCGATTACGAAGTGTTGCCGACGGTCCGCCCAATTCCAGTACCCTGCAGGCATTGCAGTTGTTCCAGCTTCCATGTAATGCCCAAATTTGGAAGTCAGATTGCAAGGTGTCACTGCAAACATCTCGCAACGGAACACAAAGTGGTGAGACCCTTGATCTTATCTTAAGCGAGTAGAAATCCAATATTTTAACCGTAAACAAATACTTAATTCTTGCGGCAGTTTAGTAGTAGTGTGATGGGATAACAAGCAATAACTTTACAAAACCAAAACTATTCGGCGTAGAACATGAAATATTAGCAGTTGTTATGACGCTTTATCTTACTGTTCTGTAACGTTTTTCATTTAGATGGAAACTTAAACATCTTTAGAATGTGGCGGGGTTTGGTGCATTCACTACCTATACTGGTAATGCATTTCAGTGAGAACAGATTTTAAGATAGTAAAAATACTGTGCAATCCAAACAAGAGTGTTGAGTTACTAGTTTCAGGTGGTGACTAAATCATTTGTAAGGAGCTAAAGTCAGCAGTGGTTTACACAGATGATCGCTTTCTGTTATCATATGGGAATGAGATCTCCGCGAAACCATCGATAGTATTAGGAAAACAAACCGCATAAACGAAGATACAGTTCACAACTGAGGCCGGATGATCCACTTGTTGTCTTAGTGGCTCTGGTTTGTGGCTGCTCCAAGAGAAGAATCTCCCGTTTTAATCATGGACATCATGCCAAAATCGCATTTTTAATGCGGGCACGAATATACGAGTTAATCAACAGGGGTACCAGCTGTCTCCCAAAAGTACCATTGGCTCACCTCAAAAGTTTTGAGCTATACTTTGCTACATTTGCTGTTGTCAAACACTGGAGCAATTTTCGTATACCTACTTGAAGGATAATACCTATGTCTCTCTCACTGGTCACTTAATGTAAAACTTGCTTCTCCAATAGATATGTGTTGTTGAATCTGTTGTGTGGTGTCAGCGGTTGTCACTTGTCAGGATTCAGGTCGAGCTGGTTTGTCTCTGCTCATTCCTAGATCCGATCCAGATTGTTCTGATGATAAGCATGGTTAGATGTTGAGCGAATAGCTCTCTGGATCTTGACATCAGCCGCAAATATTTGCTCGGCGTATTGCATACTTGTTGTGTGGTGAATGATAAAGATTAAAAACAGTAGCGGGCAGAGGACGGATCTTTGCGGCACATCACTGGAGCCACACAGGTTTTCGGAGTTTGTGGCGGCGATTTCTTCCATAGTTGTTCCATAGTTTAGGTACCTTACCAACCAGGTGAGTATGGAACTGGTGATATCATAGGTACCAAGCTTTCAGAGAAGAATTAAGTGATCGAATCTGTCGAATGCCTTAGAAACTTCTAAGTAAATTACATCTAGAAAGGCTCCTTCATCAGCCTCCCCTATCCCTGAGTCCTGAGCAAGGAGCAGATTGATGAGACAAGATAGTCTGTGTCTGCAACTCGTGGAGATTAAAAATGATTTGCAGACTTCCGAAATATCTCGTCAGTTCATCGGCGATCATCCACTCCACCATTTTGGTAAAACAGAAGGAGGCTGATAATTCGATGGTTGGCACGATTGTAGTGGTTGTGATTACACGGTAATCTATCTTTGTTTTTATCATTTCCGTTACCGATCACCTTGTACCATTTGTTTAAATTCACAACTTTTGAATATAACTTTTTCTACGCGCTCGCGTCGTGCTGCTTTCGGTTTTGCTGCTGCTTGTGATTGTGCTGCTGCCGCGTCTATCCATTACTCGGATTATATGTTGGCATCTCTGGTCGGCATCGGACTATCATCGATTGAAGAAGGAACTATCACGCAAGTGCATTGATTTTCCTCTATTTTGTGTTCTTGCTTAAGATTGCATTTTGCCCCATCACTATAACTCCGTAGGTAACGGTCCTCTACATAATTAGTGACCCCGACGTGGAATCAAATACGTACAGGAGGCGACTGATAAGTTGGCCAGCGGCAGCCGTCGCCATTACTGGCTGGTTTCGACGTTTCCCGATTTGGAAGTAGCAAACGCCTTTGGGTGAGTGCACCCTGGGCGGCAGTTTCGTGCAGCATTACCAAACCGGTTATGGAAGTAGCAATAGGCGCGCGATGATCGTCTGCGAGAGTTGCTGCGAGGCCTGCTTGTGGAAGAGGATCTTTGGTACGGTGTTCGAGCGCGGGCTAGGTGGGAAATGCTGAGTTCTAACTTGGAGAGCCTCTCGCTAAGGGAGTCGAGTGTGGCAGTCCCTGAAGTGCTCGTCGTGGACGCCTCAACCACTTGATTCACGGCGTTTTTAAAGAAATTTTCGTGTACCTTGTCGGCCGCTTCCGCCAGCTTAGTCAGTGAAACGTCCTCAGCCATTACAGCTAGAATCGCCGTCGTGTTAGCGGGAAGACACTTAAGCCAGAGTTGGCGAAGGATGGAATCATCCAAGGTTGCTGAACCGACTAGTGATCGCATATGTCGCAGGAGCTGAGACGGTGTACGATCACCAAGCTCGACGCCGGAGAGTAGCTGTTGGAGGCGTAACTCGTCGGATGAGGTAGTGCGTTTTAAGATGGCTGCCTATAGTATATCATAAGGTGAGTCAGTCGACATAGGATCGAGGATATCAATGACCTCTGAAGCCACGTGTGTAGGTAAATGAGCAGTAACGTAAGAAAACATTGTGGATTGCGAGGTAATCTTACGAAAACGAAAGATAGATTCAACTTGAATAAACCAGACACGTGGGTTCGACACATCGAAGGATGGCAAAGAAAATGTAACGGGGTTTTCGGATAGCTGTTCACAAGAAGGTTGAACATACATAATGAAGAAAAAAAAGGTATTCAAAAAAATACGGGGTCACCAATTATGTAGAGGACCGTTACCTACGGAGTTATAGTGATGGGGCAAAATGCAATCTTAAGCAAGAACACAAAATAGAGGAAAACCAATGCACTTGCGTGATAATTCCTTCTTCAATCGATGATAGTCCGATGCCGACCAGAGATGCCAACATATAATCCGAGTAATGGATAGACGCGGCAGCAGCACAATCACAAGCAGCAGCAAAATCGAAAGCAGCACGACGCGAGCGCGTAGAAAAAGTTATATTCAAAAGTTGTGAATTTAAACAAATGGTGCAAGGTGATCGGTAACGGAAATGATAAAAACAAAGATAGATTACCGTGTAATCACAACCACTACACGATCCGATCCTTTATATATCGGAGTGATGCTTCCATCTTTTCATTCGGATTGGAGTGTATGGGAATCAGGTGGACACTGAAAAGGCTGTAAGATGCGCTACTATGAATGGTGGCACGGGTTTTAAGAACATTTAGGCAGGGAGTTGTTTTATCCACATCCTTGTTTTTCACTTACGTTACCTCAATCCCCGTCCAGCAAGAAGCCATCCTGTTGAAGTATGCGGACGATGTAGTCTTTGGCGTTCACCATCAAAGTAGAGAGTCATTGGTCAAGCTACAAACCCTATTGGACAACCTCACAGTTTGGTCCAAATCCCGTTGCGTACCGTTAAACACCTCAAAATCCAAGGTACCTTTTCTACGCTGTTCAAAGTAACTCGCTACCAGAAAATCCTGATACACTGTCCACAACTTTGCATTGTCGGTGAATGTTTGACCTCTTCCACTTCAGTAAAATACCTGGGAGTGACATTGAGCAGTGGACTTACATGGTCCCTTCACGTGAACGAAACATACACTAAGTTTAGAAGACTTTCATGTTATGTTACACGACTTAGGTCTTCTTCCGTACCCCGATTTTTGGTCCAGCGTTTTGTCACTACATGTGTTACCCTACTGGACGTACTACTCTCCAGTTATCTTTCCTGGTCTCTTGAGGAAGCACCATAAACTAATTGCCAGATCAGTGAAGTATCTAGCCCGGTGTACTGGAATTTCAAGCATGGTAATTGTCACCTTCATTGTTGCCAGTCCTGGCAACACCTGTAACATATTTATCAATCTCCTCCTCGACCAGACAGATCTACAAAGCAATATACGCCCGCACGAGGGCCTAGGGTACATCAGTTGTTCCTTTACTGTCACGTTTTTAAACGATAAAACTTCAGTCAATCAAGAACTGATTAATAAATTACCCCAGTGATATTTTCTCTGCTAAATCTTTTTAAGTGTCGTAGTTTTATAGTTAACCACATGCATTATTTGTCCTATTTCGTGGCATGTGCGCTAGAACTGAATATTCACCCTTTAAAGGTGCATAAACACATTCATGACTTGACTTCACTTGTATAAGCCCATGACATTGGCTGGGAGGTGATAGGGCGAACGTTCCATTGTGTTTGTGTGCATTGAGCCAAACTGCAGGAGCAGTTAGGCTTCTGGCCGTCTTGAGTGGAGGTATTCCTATGTTAAACCTTCTGCCGTCGTTCATATACCTGTAAAGCATTTTGGTGTTGCTCGTAAACTGGAGTACTGTAGTCTCCTGCCAATCCTACTTGTCGACTCTAATGAGTGACGTGTAGTAGTTTCTGATTGATTTGCTAATCTTCTATGTGCTATCATGTGGATCTAGCGCATGTTGCCTGCAAACCTCCTTTTTTCTGCCAACCAAATTACGGCTTCTGCCTCAGATCAAGATGTTAGTCCGGTGGCACTCACGTAATGGTACAAATTTTGAGGCTACCTACATGATATAGTTAATTTTACCTTTTAACTCACTGCATGCGTCGTCCAGTGACCCGAAGAGCTAGAGGCCCACTCAACCGTTTCCACTAGGTTGGGAAGTTTGGAATGGTCGGAAACAGTTCGTAGAGGTATGTATGTATGCAATCTCAGCAGTTCATCAACCAGACACAGTGCCAACAAAAACCATGGAGATAAGGGAATAAGAGAAGTCATCGCGTCATAATCATCATGGCATAGTAGTTGAAGGTGAGCAACACATTTCAGCTACTATGCCTCAGGATGAAAGAAACATTTTGACAAGCAATAAAACCAACAACTTTTAGTTTAAAGCACTGAGTTCCCTTTATCATTCTAAATAAGACAATGAGAAGACTGGTATTGTAGTTGATCTGTTATCCTTGCGTCTACGTAATTTTCCTTTGTGACCAGTTTCAAATCTTCGGCCTTTCTGTCACGTGATTCATCT